CATCCGAATTTTTTCCCTTAAATTATGAATATTATAATTTTAGAAATAATACATGTTATTCAAATCTTGATGAGTGTGTTAATAAAAAAGATTCACAAATAATTACGATTTTATCAAAATTACCTAGTTATTTCTTTTTAAAATTATAATTGAGTATTAATCATATAGTCGAAGTTATACATCCAACATTAGACTGAACAGCTGAAAATAGAAAGAAATTGGAGAAAAATTAGAAAATGAAATATGGAATACACATAAAATCATTATAGCAAATAAGTCAGAAATACAATTACCATCCTCTCTTTATACATATTATGCAAGTTTTTCAAAATTTTTAACAGGATTTTTGATGGGATCATTGGTGAAATTTTAAAAAAAAAATTAACAAATTTGAATTTTAAACAAAAACAACGTAATAAACCTTTAAAATAATTAGATAAAGAACATATTATTAAATGTGTAACATTTATTGTTTCACTTATCACAAGTATGGCATTTCCTTATCTTGGTATTTGGTTCACACAAGTAATGGCAAGTATGTCCTGAAAATCACAGCTTTTTCTATCATTTAGAAAACTCTTATCCACTCTTTATATAAGTGGATATACTGATGATCATGAATACCAAGTAGAAAAACAACAGATGGCTAAAGTTAATCCAACTAAAAGATTATTAAAAGGGTTAAATATGTGAAATTTGGCCATTATTGATAACATTGATTTCAAAGAAAAAACTTTTACTTACAGGAATATTTTTGATACAACACGCGAAAGTTCTCATACAACACTTAGAATGGCATTTCAAATGTGAATGCCAATTCCTTTAGAAGAAAAAGCATGTGATGAGAAAAAATTATTTCTTCATCAGGTCTTTTTGGAATGAACGATCAGATTAAGAATACATGTAATATGTTTGATAAAATTATCAATGACCTTTTGAATTTTCAAACTAATACTGAAAATCAAATTACCTATAATACTGATTTTGATATGACAATAATTCACCAAAAAATTCTTGAAAATGTTGATCACGATTGTTTAGCTGATGTACCTAATATAATCATTTTAGAAACTGGTGGAATTCCAAATTCAGACGAAGGAATATTTCAATCTACAGAAATGTATAAACAAGACTTTAAATTAAAATCGTATAATTACTTAGATGTAGTAGCTGATGAAGCAATCTTTAGAAGGTTAATCAAACAATGAGAATAATGGCCAAATATACGACCTATTCTTGGCTAATGGCATACATCAAAGGATATGTGCGGAGTTCTGATTGTGTTATTTTCAAGCTATGGGATTTTTGATCTTGCAAAAGTATTAGAAGTCAAATTTTTAGATAAACTTGATAAAGTTGTAGATTATCGTTCTACAGTTCGTGTCTTAGAATTAATATGGTGTGCAGTAGCTATTGCTATTCATATTTACATGAAAAAAACAAAACTCAATAAATATAATATTATGGATGCAGATAGTGATGCTAATAGTGTTTTGCGAATATAGTATCTTTATTATAAATGGGCATCAATCTTTAAAGCTCATCGTGTTAGAATTTGTGTTGGTAATCATAAATTACAAAAAAATGCTTTGGCTTGTTTTGCAGGATTATTTACATCGGCGGGAAAATCAAATTATTTAGTATCAGTTGCAAAATACCTTGGAATACTAGCTTAGTATCCTAAACTTGAAGAAAAACTAGAATGTGTATCATAGGTTAAAATTGATGATGATGAAAAATGAAAAGGCCATTATTTTGCTTTTGATGAAGCACTAGAGACATTTGGCGTTAAGTTTATTAAATAGAATATTACTGGAAATGTAATTGATGTCAATAATTTAATATTACAAGTTAAAGCTGCTCAAAGTGAACGAGATCGTATAAGAATCTTATTATCAGAATATCTCAATGTCCTTGTGGATCAATCGGACAAAGAGCTGTGAATATCCGTAAATCAGTTATGTGGAATCTTGTAAATGAACTTTTGTCATCATTTTGCTATTCTGATGAATATAATTGCTATCAAAATCCTTTGTGGAATACTACCTCTCCTAATCAGCTTACAGCAAGTAGTGTTATATGTCTTAGTAATTGTTTCCCTGATGGAATCTCAAGAATAGAAGCAATTTTTTTACAAGATGTCATTTCAATACAAAAAAGTAATAAAGTTGGAAAGAGAAAGCTAGGAGTTACAAGATAGAAACCTAATGATCAAAATTTAAAAAAGAAAAAAGTTATAGCTAATGTTGCATTAACATCACAATCAAATGCAGAAAATTCTAATCAAGCTATTTCAGACCAACAAATACCAACCGATTCAATAAATACGGTAGATCAAGATGGACCACTAAAGAAGAAACAAAGGCAAACTCGTCATGAAACTAAACTTGAAGAAAAAAGCTTTTAGAACCATTTGTGACTTGTCCTGAATATCCAACTAGTGATCAAATAAATCAGGTTAAAGAAGTATTAGGAAATGAATAGGATAAGAATTGGATTAATCAATATATATTTCGTCATAGGCGTAATAAAAACAATAATCATGAATAAATTTAATAATTTTACCTTAAATAAAACAGAGAAATTCTTTAAAGTTTCATTATATAAAAAATAAATGGCATTTTTCATAAGAAATTCTATTGCATGTAGTTTCTTAAAGTGATTACGTTAAAAGATTTGCTAAAAGTATAGATTGTAAGGTACTTTTTTTTTTATTTAAAAGTTGGTAGCAAAAGAATCTCAGGTTTTAATGTCAAAAATAGGTAAAATTGCTGATATAATAAAATTTCGTAGGAAAACAGAAAAGGCCAAACTTTTAATTATTTTGATATAGGAAATTGCTGTTGAAAAAACTTTATTAAGAATGAAAAACGATTATATTATGATTTAGAATGAAAGACTTTAATGAACTATCTTGGACGAATGTTACACAAAATTTTTTAATTATGATTGACATGTAAATTAGACATGCATACTGACTGCTAAGAAAATTCTTAATGAGGAACCTATTATCAAATATCACCCTTCTTTCCTAAATGGATTAGAGCTTGATGCTTTCTTCCAAAAATATCGAATTGCATTAGAGATGCAAAGGACTCACCATCGGCTTCATAGTATAAAAATATTAAGAAACTCGAAAATATTGTTAATCGTGATCGGCAAAAAAGATGCATTTGTCTGGATAGTGGAATTTTTCTTATTGAGGTATGGTATAACCAAAACCCGAAAATTGTCATTCCAGGAATACAAAAAATTAAGAAGTTTGTTTATCTAGCATCCAAAAGTTTGATATCCTATAATCAATTCTTCTTATAATACATGTAACTCTACGATCAATATTTGTGTGATTTTTGCATGTTACACCACGCTACTAAATAAAAGATCCTTCGGGATACGACTTTATTTGACAATCAATATTTCACAATGTTTATGCTAATTTACAGAAAGATCCTGATATTATTTATTTACTATTAAAATTAACATTATTAAGTTTCACTGTTTTTACTATTAAAACTAATATATAGCATTATTAAGTTTCACCCTTTTCATTTTTTGTGGCGAAGGATAAATATTCTCTTTTTCATCGTCATCATTACAAATAATGTACAAATTGTTCTGCTATGCGATCATATGAGGCCTTTGCAATAGAAAGGGAGGAAACTGCTGGAAAAATTAATTTTACTTTTATATGCCAAATATGATTTTTAGGCTGAAATATGTTCAAATTTAGCA